AATTATTACCGAAAATCTCCATTTTACAATTTTTACAAATATTCGTATTCTCTCGTATTCTTTCGGATTCTGTCGGTTTTTCTCGAATTTCTCGGATTTTTTCAGATTCTTCAGGCTTGTTTCACATTTTCTTGGATTTTTATGGATTCTTCTGGATTTTCCCTTATCCTTTCAGAATTTGATCGGATTCTGGCGTATTCTCTCGGATTTTTTCGGATATTTCCGAATTCTCTCCGAGTATCTCAGAATTTTATCGAATTCTGTCATACTATTATAATTTGGCCGGATTATTATCTCGTATTCTTTCGGATTTTCTCGGATTCTTTCAGGTTTTACAGGCTTTTTTCCCATTTTTTTCGATTTTCCCTTATCCTTTCGGAATTTGATCGGATTCTATCGTATTCTTTCGGATTTTTTCGTATACTTCCGAATTCTCTCCTAGTATCTCAGAATTTTGTCGAATTCTATCATTCTATTTTAATTTGGCCGGATTACTCTCTCGTATTCTTTCTGATTCTGTCGGATTTTCTCGAATTTCTCAGATTCTTTCAGATTTCTCAGGTTTCTTTCACATTTTCTTGGAATCTTATGGATTTTTATGGATTCTTCTGGATTTTCCCTTATCCTTCCGGAATTTGATCGGATTCTGTCGTATTCTCTCCGAGTATCTCAGAATTTTGTCGAATTCTGTAATTCTATTTTAATTTGGTCGGATTATTCTCTCGTATTCTTTCGGATTATTTCGGATTCTTTCAGGTTTTTTTTTTAGGTTTTTCAGGCTTGTTTCCCATTTTTTTGGATTTTCCCTTATCCTCTCGGAATTTGATCGGATTCTATCGTATTCTCTCGGATTGTTTTGGATGCTTCCGAATCCTCTCCGAGTATCTCAGAATTTTACCGAATTCTGTCATTCTTTTTTAATTTGGCTGGATTTTTTTTTTTTATAATATTAATGATAATAATAATTTATTACGGAAAATCTCCATTTTACAATTTTTACAAATTTTCGTATTCTCTCGTATTCTTTCGGATTCTGTCGGTTTTTCTCGAATTTCTCGGATTCTCTCAGATTCTTCAGGCTTGTTTCAAATTTTCTTGGATTCTTATGGATTTTAATTGATTCTTTTGGATTTTCCTTTATCCATTCGGAATTTGATCGGATTCTATGGTATTCTTTCGAATTTTTTCGTATACTTCTGAATTCTCCCCTAGTATCTCAGAATTTTGTCGAATTCTATCATTCTATTTTAATTTGGCCGGATTACTCTCTCGTATTCTTTCTGATTCTGTCGGATTTTCTCGAATTTCTCGGATTTTTTCAGATTCTTCAGGCTTGTTTCAAATTTTCTTGGATTCTTATGGATATTTATGGACTCTTCTGGATTTTCCTTTATCCTTTCGGAATTTGTTCGGATTCTGTCGTATTCTCTCGGATTTTTTCGGATGTTTCCGAATTCTCTCCGAGTATCTCAAAATTTTGTCGAATTCTGTAATTCTATTTTAATTTGGTCGGATTATTCTCTCGTATTCTTTCGGATTATTTCGGATTCTTTCAGGTTTTTTTTTAGGTTTTTCAGGCTTGTTTCCCATTTTTTTGGATTTTCCCTTATCCTCTCGGAATTTGATCGGATTCTATCGTATTCTCTCGGATTTTTTCGGATGTTTACGAATTCTCTCCGAGTATCTCAGAATTTTGTCGAATTCTGTAATTCTATTTTAATTTGGTCGGATTATTCTCTCGTATTCTTTCGGATTATTTCGGATTCTTTCAGGTTTTTTTTTAGGTTTTTCAGGCTTGTTTCCCATTTTTTTGGATTTTCCCTTATCCTCTCGGAATTTGATCGGATTCTATCGTATTCTCTCGGATTTTTTCGGATGTTTACGAATTCTCTCCGAGTATCTCAGAATTTTGTCGAATTCTGTAATTCTATTTTAATTTGGTCGGATTATTCTCTCGTATTCTTTCGGATTATTTCGGATTCTTTCAGGTTTTTTTTTTTAGGTTTTTCAGGCTTGTTTCCCATTTTTTTGGATTTTCCCTTATCCTCTCGGAATTTGATCGGATTCTATCGTATTCTCTCGGATTTTTTTGGATGCTTCCGAATTCTCTCCGAGTATCTCAGAATTTTAGCGAATTCTGTCATTCTTTTTTAATTTGGCCGGATTATTTTTTTTAATAATATGTAATAATAATTTATTACGAAAAGTCTCCATTTTACAATTTTTACAAATATTCGTATTCTCTCGTATTCTTTCGGATTCTGTCGGTTTTTCTCGAATTTCTCGGATTCTTTCAGATTCTTCAGGCTTGTTTCAAATTTTCTTGGAGTCTTATGGATTTTAATTGATTCTTTTGGATTTTCCTTTATCCATTCGGAATTTGATCGGATTCTATCGTATTCTTTCGGATTTTTTCGTATACTTCCGAATTCTCTCCTAGTATCTCAGAATTTTGTCGAATTCTATCATTCTATTTTAATTTGGCCGGATTACTCTCTCGTATTCTTTCTGATTCTGTCGGATTTTCTCGAATTTCTCAGATTCTTTCAGATTTCTCAGGTTTCTTTCACATTTTCTTGGAATCTTATGGATTTTTATGGATTCTTCTGGATTTTCCCTTATCCTTTCGGAATTTGATCGGATTTGTCGTATTCTCTCGGATTTTTTCGGATGTTTCCGAATTCTCTCCGAGTATCTCAAAATTTTGTCGAATTCTGTAATTCTATTTTAATTTGGTCGGATTATTCTCTCGTATTCTTTCGGATTATTTCGGATTCTTTCAGGTTTTTTTTAGGTTTTTCAGGCTTGTTTCCCGTTTTTTTGGATTTTCCCTTATCCTCTCAGAATTTGATCGGATTCTATCGTATTCTCTCGGATTTTTTTGGATGCTTCCGAATTCTCTCCGAGTATCTCAGAATTTTAGCGAATTCTGTCATTCTTTTTTAATTTGGCCGGATTATTTTTTTTAATAATATGTAATAATAATTTATTACGGAAAATCTCCATTTTACAATTTTTACAAATATTCGTATTCTCTCGTATTCTTTCGGATTCTGTCGGTTTTTCTCGAATTTCTCGGATTCTTTCAGATTCTTCAGGCTTGTTTCAAATTTTCTTGGATTCTTATGGATTTTTATTGATTCTTTTGGATTTTCCTTTATCCTTTCGGAATTTGATCGGATTCTGTTGTATTCTCTCGGATTTTTTCGGAGGTTTCCGAATTATCTCCGAGTATCTCACAATTTTAGCGAATTCTGTCATTCTATTATAATTTGGCCGGATTATTATCTCGTATTCTTTCGGATTTTCTCGGATTCTTTCAGGTTTTACAGGCTTCTTTCCCATTTTTTTCGATTTTCCCTTATCCTTTCGGAATTTGATCGGATTCTATCGTATGCTTTCGGATTTTTTGGTATACTTCCGAATTCTCTCCTAGTATCTCAGAATTTTGTCGAATTCTATCATTCTATTTTAATTTGGCCGGATTACTCTCTCGTATTCTTTCGGATTCTGTCGGATTTTCTCGAATTTCTCGGATTCTTTCAGATTCTTCAGGCTTGTTTCACATTTTCTTGGAATCTTATGGATTTTTATGGATTCTTCTGAATTTTCCCTTATCCTTTCGGAATTTGATCGGATTCTGTCGTATTCTCTCGGATTTTTTCGGATGTTTCCGAATTCTCTCCGAGTATCTCAGAATTTTGTCGAATTCTGTCATTCTATTTTAATTTGGTCGGATTATTCTCTCGTATTCTTTCGGATTCTTTTAGGTTTTTCACGCTTGTTTCCCATTTTCTTGGATTTTTATGGATTCTTCTGGATTTTCCCGTATCCTTTCGGAATTTGATCGGATTCTGGCGTATTCTTTCGGATTTTTTCGGATATTTCCGAATTCTCTCCGAGTATCTCAGAATTTTATCGAATTCTGTCATACTATTATAATTTGGCCGGATTATTTTCTCGTATTCTTTCGGATTTTCTCGGATTCTTTCAGGTTTTACAGGCTTGTTTCCCATTTTTTTGGATTTTCTCTTATCCTTTCGGAATTTGATAGGATTCTATCGTATTCTTTCGGATTTTTTCGGATGCTTCCGAATTATTATTCTGGATTATTCTGTCGTATTCTTTCGGATTCTGTCCAATTTTTCGGATTTCTGGGATTCTTTCAGGTTTTTCAGGTCTGTCTCACGTTTTCTTGGATTCTTATGGATTTTTATAGATTCTTCTGGATTTTCTCTTATCCTTTCCGGATTTGATCGAATTCTGTCGGATTCTCTCGGATTTTTTCGGATTGTTCCGAATTCTCACCGATTATCTCAGAATTTGGTCGAATTCTATCATATTCTCTCGTATTCTTTCGGATCCTCTCGGATTTCGTTTTTTTTTTCTAATTCTCTTATATTCTTTAGGTTTTTCCGGATTCTCCCGGGTCTTTTCAAATTTTCTAGGATTCACCGAATTATTTCCGGATTCTCGCAAATTTTTGTCGTATTCTCACAGACCCTTTCGGATTTTCTGGGATTCCCCAAGATGCCGAATATGTAAGTTAATTTTCTGATTCTTCTTCAGGATTCTCTCGTATTTTCACCATTTCTTTCGGATTTTTTCGGATTCTTCTGAATTCTCTCCGATCTTCCCGCAATATGGACGGATTCTCTCATATTCGCTCATATTCCTTTCGTATTTTTTCGGGTTCTCTCGGATTTCCGATTTTCTCAAAATCTCCCGGATTCATTCAAAATGTTCTCAAATTTTTTCATAATGTCTCATATTTTCTCCTATATTAATATCAACCACAAGAACAAGAATATAGTTATTTTATAAAATTTAAACGACGTGCACCAAGCACAATTTTCAGGTGACGTCATCAAATTATCAGTGGGGATGTCTCAACAAATTTCGATAAAACATGACCAAATTTTCAAAACAACTGACTCGTGAAGCCACCAATTTTTCCAAACAAAATTTGAATTTCAACTCAACGATAAAAAATATCTTACCCCCCGAAGTTAACACAGATCCTCTGCTTGCACCGCTCCTTGTTCTTCACGGTCCCATGCCGACTCCTCCTCGTGCACACGTCGCACCTCCCGCAATCCTCGGTCCGGTAGCAGCCCATGCACTCCCCACACTTCTTCATCTTCTTGTCGGTCTTCGTCTCGCCCCTGTCCTTGCGCTTCCGCGACCGCCTCTCATCGCTGTTCGTGTTCGCGCTCGCGTCATCCCGTTTCGTCTTCCAGCGCGTCTGCAAGGAAGAGTCTTCTTCGGAGCACCGGATACAAACATACTGCTTGATGAGCTTGGCTTCCTTCTCCGAGATGTTCATGCAGTCGCCGTGGTACCACTCTTCACAGGCGTCGCAGGCGATCATGAAACGGGAACTGTCCGAGGACCGACAAATGCAGTAGGCTTGCCCATCTTGCTTCAAGAGGGTGTCGATTTTGGACTGGCGTTCGGGCAGGAGGAACTGTCGGGCGATTTCTTCGCGCTGCAAACAAGGGGTGAATGGATTTTTACGAGAGAAAAGAGGGAAAAATTACCGAAATGTCGCGTTTTCTGGACATTTTTAGGGCGACCTAACCTCACTTTTTGGGTACGGGATTTGATAGATTTTGTTACAATTGGGGTACGTTACGTATACAATTCCACGTAACAGACTGAGTTTTAAAAAAAACACAATGCAGGAAGCCCTAGAATGGATAATATACAAATTGTAAAGTGTTAATTGTTGACATTTGTTCAGACTGCCAACTGAAATTTTAAAACTGCCAAATGTTACTATTTTACAGAAATCTGTAACCCAATTGACATTTATAATTTCCATACAAGTACAAAGTCATTCAGATAATCAAACTTAAAACACTACGAGCACCAACCGCGCACGGAAGTTTCGTATTTTGCCTTGTTTATAAAACAAACAAACCAAACGTCACTTGTCACTCGGGCCGTCATCCGTCAAACGCGCTCTCTCTCTGTCCGCTCAAACCCCCATCGCTCCGTCTCTCTCTAACAGTTTGGGGCAATTACCAGCCATGATTCATCGCCCCAACCTCCTTATCAGATAAACCTGTTGATTACCAACTCGTGGGGCGTCACCGCACGCTGAAAATGAGCGAAAACACCGAAACCCTGGAAGCCCCAAACTGGCTTTCCGAGCTCGAAAAGAAGCGCGAAATTCGACTGAAAGCCCGTTTGGGGCACGAAGCCGGCGCCGGGGCCCCCTGTATCAAGTGCAACGACAAGTGCCCAGGTTTAGATCTCCACTTCTGGCGAAAAATCTGCAAGAACTGTAAGTGCTCAAAGGAGGACCATGATGTCCACGATGACGACATTTATGGGTGGGCGCAGTTCCAGCTGCTGGGCAGCAAACCCAACAGGATTAAAAAGAAAATCGGTGAGTGGGTTGCAAGCGTGGCTTGTCGAGTTTTCAACGATTTTTGTAGTTTTACCGGGGAAAAAGGATGAAGTGGAGTTGGATTGGGCCCCCAAGGGGAACACCGAGACTATCGATAAGTATTTGAAGACGTTGGCGCCGGAGAGTTTGCCGGTGAAGGGGTCCCAGGCGGCGCAGGAGCGAAAGCAGCTACTACAAAAGCAAATTCCGATTCATGACATTGACCCAACCCTCTGTCACGAATTGACTGACTCGGAGTTAGCTAAAATGCAGGATTATATCAAACACATGAAAAACAGCGCTGGAGTGGGACAGGTTATCCAGTTTAGTGTGAATTATGGTAATGTACATCTCCTGGGGGACCTCAATGTGAAGGTCGTCGCAGACCGATACCCAAAAGGTGTGCCTTCAATAGAAACCGTCCAGTTACTAGGTGAACGTAAAGCAGGCACCTTAACCAAACAATTCGACAAGTTAGGGATTCAAGACCAGAAAGAGTTGGATGCTTTCTTTGATAAAATCCCGAAACCGCACAACATGACAGCTCACACCGAAAAGTTAGGTTATGGCAATCTGGCAACTACCCCCGACAAAATCCCCAAAAGTATGTACACCCCGGAAAATCGCGACTTCACCCTTGAATTAACCCGTAGATTAACTAACGTCCCGCCGCCCCCTCTCGTCAATATTCAAGGTCAAGACGTACCCCGCTACCCCCCGAACTACTCGCAAAGCATCGAAGTTAATAAAAACCTGGCGTCGCGATTCGCCCGCGAGCACATTTTAAGCGACCCGAACCTAGGGGCGGTGCCTAATTTCGCCAATGAGGCGACGACTGAGCCGCAATTCGGCTACGCGAGCGCGGAGGCGGTGCCTATTTATCCTACCGAAAACACGGAACTGTATAGGGCGGGGCCTGACTACGCCAACGAAATCAACCGCAACGCCGTCGATCTCCCGCATTACGCCCCCGGCACTCTAAATATACAGAGTGAGCAACAAAACCCCACTTCGGTTCGCAACATCCGCGATTTAGCGTACGGCACGCACGATTTAGCCAATTCCAACTACAGTAAGCCGTTGCAGTCGTACAACCCGAGCCAGTTGAGCGTGTCCGAAAGTCAGATGGTGCCAAATCCGGTGAATATCGGGCCCATTCGTGACATCAGCTACGAATACAGCGCCCCTGAAATCAAACAAGCGATACAAGGCGAAAACGCGTTGTTCGAAGGCCTGGAACGCGGGCGCCAGGTCCCTGAAGACGTCGCTCTCGAGACGAAACAGTGCCGCAAATGCTCCAAGTTCTTCGAGCCCGGCGAGTTCGCCATTTTCGTGGAAAAATCAAACGCGCTTTACCATTCCGAGTGTTTCAAGTGTGCTGGGTGCAACCAGAGTCTAGCCGACTTGTTCTATTTCTACGACAAAGAGTCCGATAACATATATTGCGGGCGCGATTTTGCCAAAATCCGCGGGATTCCCAGATGTAAAGCTTGCGATGAGCTTATTTTCGTGAAAGAGTATTGTTTGGCGGAGAATTCGACGTTCCATTTGAAGCATTTTTGTTGCTTCGAGTGCGATCAAGCTCTGGCGGGGCAGAATTACGTTGTTGAGGATTCGCAGCCGGTTTGTTTGCCTTGTTTTGAGAAGCTTAAAGCCAATAAGTGCATTAGTTGTTCGAGGGTGATTAGGCCGGACGAGCAGGGGGTGTCTTTGGCTGAAGGGACGCACTTTCATGCTGCTGATGAGTGCTTTTGTTGTTCGGTGTGTAGGAAGGTGTTGCATGGGGCCAGGTTGTTGTTCAGAAACAATAAGTTGTATTGCTCGCATGACTGTTTGAGGAGCGATCAGTGATATTTTTGGATTCCAAGTTTTACATTGATGATAAGATTTACATATTTTATTATATTATATTAAATTTTCTATACTTAGCTATTTTGTAAGTATATTTTATACGACGGTATCATATTTTTGTATCATTATTATGAAAATGTGCCATTTGTATCGATTTTATACGAAATAAAAGTTCCTCGAAATGTATTGTTCTTTTCATTATTATTATACTTAAGAAAGTTAGGTTAAGATAGGCATTTGTGACAGTATATAAGCACCTATTATCACTATGTGGTGGCAAAACTCATGAAATTTGGAAGTTAAGCTTATATATCATCATCATCTCGTCTTTAAGAGAACACTTTAATTTCTGCACCAATCACAACAAAGTGCATCGCCGCCAAATTAAAATTTTCATCTTTTTTTTTGAGTTTTCAATTTGGAATTCACCTTTCTTGTTTATCGGGACAGATTTCGTAACGGCGATTTCAGATTTGTAACTGGCGGAAGATTATCTAAATTTGAGTCCAATCTTCAGTCGACTGAACCAATTTTAAAGATTTTTTTGGAAAATTTCCGAAAATGTTAAATTCACTTTTCGTGTTTAGTGGATTAGATATCTAATTAACGACGATTTCAGATTCGCAACTGGCGGAAGATTATCTATAAATCGACTCCAATTTCAGATCAATTGAACAAATTTTTTGGAAAATTTTTGGACATTTTGGATTCACTTTTCGTGTTTATTGCAGCAGATATCGTGACGGCGTTCCAAAAGTTTTCCAAAAAAGTGGTGAGCAACATCGGTTCAATCGATCGAAAATTTGTGACAAATTGTAGATAATCTTCTTCTAGTTTCCTATCTGAAATCGCTGTCACGAGATCTGCTCCAATAGATACGAAAAGTGAATCCAAAATTTCTAAAAATTTTCCAAAAAAGTGGTTAAAATTGATTTAATCGACCGAAGATTAGTGTCAAATTGTGGACAACCTTTCGATAGTTACGAATCTGAAATCGCCGTCAAGATATCTGTTCCAATAAACCCGAAAAGTGAATCCAAAATTTCCAAAAAAGTGGTTTAAATTGATACAATCGACCGAAAATTGGTGTCAAATTATAGATAATCTTCTGCTACTTACGAATCTGATATAGCCGTCACGATATCTGCTCCAATAAACCCGAAAAGTGAATCCAAAATTTTCAAAAATTTTCCAAAAAAATCGTTAAAATCGGTTCAATCGACCGAAAATTGGTCTCAAATTGTAAATAATCTTCCGCTAGTTACGAATCTGAAATCGATGTCACGATATCTGCTCCAATAAACCCGAAAAGTGAATCCAAAATTTCCAAAAATTTTCCAAAAAAGTGGTTAAAATTGGTTCAATCGACCGAAAATTGGTGTCAAGTTATAGATAATTTTCTTCTAGTTACGAATCTGAAACCGCCGTCACGATATTTGCTCCAATAAAGCCGAAAAGTAAATCCAAAATTTCCAAAAATTTTCCAAATATGTGGTTAAAATTGGTTGGTGTCAAATTGTAAATAAACTTCTGGTTACGAATCTGAAATCGCCGTCACGAAATTTTCTCCAATAAGCTCGAAAAGTGGATCCAAAATATCCAAGAATTTTCCAAAAAAGTGGTTAAAATTGGTTCAATTCACCGAAAATTGTTGTCAAATTGTAGATAATCTTCCGCTGGTTACGAATCTGAAATCGCCGTTACGATATTTGCTCCAATAAACACGAAAAGTGAATCCAAAATTTCCAAAAAAGTGGTTAAAATTGGTTCAATCGACCGAAAATTGGTGTCAACTTATAGATAATCTTCTACGTACGAATCTGAAATCGCCGTGACGATATCTGCTCCAATAAACCAGAAAAGTAAGTCCAAAATTTCCAAAAATTTTCCAAAAAAGTGATTAAAATTGTTTCAATCGACCGAAAATTGGTATCAAATTGTATATAATCTTCTTCTAGTTGCGAATCTGAAATCGCCGTCAAGATATCTGCTCCAATAAACAAGAAGATTCAATCCAAAATTTCCAAAAAATTTCCAAAAAAGTGGTTAAAATCGGTTCAATCGACCGAAAATTGGTCTCAAATTGTGGGTAATCTTCCGCTAGTTACGAATCTGAAATCGCCGTCAAGATATCTGCTCCAATAAACAAGAAAAGTGAATCCAAAATTTCCAAAATTTTTCAAAAAAGTAGTTAAAATTGGTTCAATCCACCGAAAATTGGTGTCAAATTATAGATAATTTTCCGCTAGTTACCAATCTGAAATCGCCGCCAAGATATCTATTCCAATAAACCCGAAAAGTGAATCCAAAATTTCCAAAAATTTTCCAAAAAATTGGTTAAAATCTATTCAATTGACCGAAAATTGGTGAAAAATTGTAGATAATTTTCTTCTAGTTGCGAATCTGAAATCGCCGTCACGATATCTCCTCCAATAAACAAGAAAAGTGAATCCAAAATTTCCAAAAATTTTCCAAAAAAGTGGTTAAAATTGGTTCAATCGACCGAAAATTGGTGTCAAATTATAGATAATTTTCCGCTAGTTACCAATCTGAAATCGCCGCCAAGATCTCGATTCCAATAAACCCGAAAAGTGAATCCAAAATTTCAAAAAAAATTCCAAAAAATTGGTTAAAATTGGTTGAATCGACCGACAATTGGTGTCAAATTATAGATAATTTTCCGCTAGTTGCGAATCTGAAATCACCGTCAAGATATCTGCTCCAATAAACAAGAAAAGTGAATCCAAAATTTCCAAAGTTTTCCAAAAAAGTAGTTAAAATTGGTTCAATCGACCGAAAATTGGTGTCAAATTATAGAAAATTTTCCGCTAGTTACGAATCTGAAATTGCCGTCAAGATATCTGCTCTAATAAACCCGAAAAGTGAATCCAAAATTTCCAAAAATTTTCCAAAAAAGTGGTTAAAATTGATTCAATCGACCGAAAATTGGTCTCAAATTGTAGATAATCTTCCTCTAGTTACGAATCTGCAATCGCCGTCAAGATATCTGCTACAATAAATCCGAAAAGTGAATCCAAAATTTCCAAAAATTTTCCAAAAAAGTGGTTAAAATTGGTTCAATCGACCGAAAATTGTTGCCAAATTGTAGATAATCTTCCGCTGGTTACGAATCTGAAATCGCCGTTACGATATTTGCTCCAATAAACACGAAAAGTGAATCCAAAATTTCCAAAAAATTTCCAAAAAAGTGGTTAAAATTGGTTCAATCGACCGAAAATTGGTCTCAAATTGTAGATAATCTTCCGCTAGTTACGAATCTGAAATCGCCGTCAAGATATCTGCTCCAATAAACAAGAAAAGTGAATCCAAAATTTCTAAAATTTTCCAAAAAAGTAGTTAAAATTGGTTCAATCGACCGAAAATTGGTGTCAAATTATAGATAATTTTCCGCTAGTTACGAATCTAAAATCACCGTCAAGGTGTCTGCTCCAATAAACCCGAAAAGTGAATCCAAAATTTCCAAAAATTTTCCAAACAATTGGTTAAAATCGGTTCAATTGACCGAAAATTGGTGAAAAATTGTAGATATTCTTCCACTAGTTACGTATCTGAAATCGACGTCAATATATCTGCTGCAATAAAGCCGAAAAGTGAATCCAAAATTTCCAAACATTTTTCAAAAAATTGGTTAAAATTGATTCAATCGACCGAAAACTGGTGTCAAATTATATGTAATTTTCCGCTAGTTACGAAACTGAAATCGCCGTCAAGATATCTGCTCCAATAAACCTGAAAAGTGAATCCAAAATTTCCAAAAATTTTCCAAAAAAGTTGTTTAAATTGGATCAGTCGACCAAAAACTGGTGGCAGTTTATAGATGATCTTCCGCTAGTTACGAATCTGAAATCGCCGTCACGATATTTGCTCCAATACCCCCGAAAAGTGAACCCAAAATTTCCAAAAATTTACCAAAAAAGTGGTTAAAAGTGGTTCAATCGACCGAAAATTGGTGTCAAATTGTAGATAATCTTCCGCTAGTTACGAATCTGAAATCGCCGTAACGATATTTGCTCCAATACACCCGAAAAGTGAACCCAAAATTTCCGAAAATTTTCCAAAAAAGTGGTTAAAAGTGGTTCAATCGACCGAAAATTGGTGTCAAATTGTAGATAATCTTCCGCTAGTTACGAATCTGAAATCACCGTCAAGGTATCTACTCCAATAAACAAGAAAAGTGAATCCAAAATTTCCAAAAATTTTCCAAAAAAGTGGTTTAAATTGGTTCAATCGACCGAAAATTTGTAACAAATTCTGGATAATCTTCCGCTAGTTACGAATCTGAAATCGCCGTCAAGATATCTGCTCCAATAAACAAGAAAAGTGAATCCAAAATTTCCAAAAATTTTCCAAAAAATTGGTTAAAATCTATTCAATTGACCGAAAATTGGTGAAAAATTGTAGATAATTTTCTTCTAGTTGCGAATCTGAAATCGCCGTCACGATATCTCCTCCAATAAACAAGAAAAGTGAATCCAAAATTTCCAAAAATTTTCCAAAAAAGTGGTTAAAATTGGTTCAATCGACCGAAAATTGGTGTCAAATTATAGATAATTTTCCGCTAGTTACCAATCTGAAATCGCCGCCAAGATCTCGATTCCAATAAACCCGAAAAGTGAATCCAAAATTTCAAAAAAATTTTCCAAAAAATTGGTTAAAATTGGTTCAATCGACCGACAATTGGTGTCAAATTATAGATAATTTTCCGCTAGTTGCGAATCTGAAATCACCGTCAAGATATCTGCTCCAATAAACAAGAAAAGTGAATCCAAAATTTCCAAAATTTTCCAAAAAAGTAGTTAAAATTGGTTCAATCGACCGAAAATTGGTGTCAAATTATAGAAAATTTTCCGCTAGTTACGAATCTGAAATCGCCGTCAAGATATCTGCTCTAATAAACCCGAAAAGTGAATTCAAAATTTCCAAAAATTTTCCAAAAAAGTGGTTAAAATTGGTTCAATCGACCGAAAATTGGTCTCAAATTGTAAATAATCTTCCTCTAGTTACGAATCTGCAATCGCCGTCAAGATATCTGCTACAATAAATCCGAAAAGTGAATCCAAAATTTCCAAAAATTTTCCAAAAAAGTGGTTAAAATTGGTTCAATCGACCGAAAATTGTTGTCAAATTGTAGATAATCTTCCGCTGGTTACGAATCTGAAATCGCC